CCACGTGTCATGGCAGGGAAAATGGCCGCGGATCCTGTTCATCAACCAATGCGGAGTTCGCATACGGAAGCAAAAATTTGCGAGCAGTGCTGGTCGCGAACCGAATTGTTCGTGAACAGAAGCGTTCGTGACCCGAGGTACCACTGTACTTTGAAGAGCAAAAAAAAGGCTGAGATAGAAGAACTCAGCCATCTCCCAAAACAAAACAGCTCAGATCTACAGAGCTGAGTCAGATTTTCAGCAAGTGTTATCTGTTTGCTACAGACTGAATTCATACTTCAACCAGAAAATGACTTACATTCAAACATTCTTGGAAGCTGTCATGACAGTAAGTGAAGTAAGCCCAAGATATATCCAAGACTTGTATTCCTCTACATTTGAACAGAAAATTTCAACCTTGCTTTGACTTTAGGTTTGTTTTAAGGCCATGCGGACAATACAAAATTAATCGTGGTACTTAAGGGATTATTACCAAGGTATTAACCTACTTTGGTCAGATAGAAGTGAAATCAAACACCCACTTTCCAGTCCAGTTTACCTGTCCTTCCAGCATCTCCCTCTGCAATCCTGACCGCTCTTGTTCAGAGCTGTTGGTTCTTCGTATAGAAAGACTGTGAGATTTTCTTTTCTGCTTTGCTTGGCGAGCAGTGGCACAGCTTCCACTTTCTGTGGGCATTACTTCAAAACAATCACTTTCCAATAGCTGCAAAGATAAACTAAAGCCAAGTATTAAATATTATAATTTGCTCTATGCAAGAAATTATTTTTCTAAGTAGTAAATGTAAGGGAAACATTTAGCCCCACTAAAATATATCATTGTGTTAAGGTACTCATTAAGGTAATGAGTCATGAAACAGTGAAAATTCTTACTCCACATCTTTTAATATTATTTGCCAACTATTAAGCTATTCCACAAATTAAAGAAAATCCCTTTGAATTATAACTATTTTCCAAATGCAATCCCTACGAAAAATCCAACATGCTTCTAACACACAACTATAGTACTTCAGTGACACTCATTCAAAGTCAGAAACCTAAGAAGATGATGTCTGAAGGGCAATGACAAGTAAATTATTTAGATTCAAATAATTGTCCAATTGATGCTTTATTCTAAATTGCACCAATTTAGTAAACAGTCATTCCTGTCAAATCCATTCTATGTCAAGTGCCATGACTGTAAACTCTACTACAGACATAAACTTCCCAAAAAGTTTTCACCAGTTAATCCTACTGATACCACAAAATGGATTTATTAATTTTGTAATACTTTCCTCTATTAAGCCACTGTTATGCATTTTAAAATTTAATTCCATGAATGAATTTCAATTAAACTATCTAAATTACCTGACACAATACTTCAACCTCTCTCACTCATGCATGAACAATTTGGCCCCCTTAAACCATCAAATTGTGCGACATTTTTGCAGTGTCAAGTGAACGGCACCCTATTTGAATCTAACACTATATATGACCCTATTAAGCAAGGACCATTTCCCATCTCTTTACCTATCTAAAATTCAATTAGTTAGGGCTGCAATAATTAACAGCACTTTCCAAAAACCTCAAAAGTGACCACCATTCATTCAGCAACAGTTCTTTCTTTATACAGGTAGTTCTTGCTTAACTACCCTAACTGGGACCAGAATTTCCATCACTAAGTGAAGCAATCGTTAGGTGAAACATCACATGACTGCACTGCTTACCAACAGCAGTTTCAATAGTCCTGATTGCAGTTGTTAGACCAGAACTATGCCATCATTAGGCAAGGATCTCACGCTTCTCCTGCCCTGCTGCGCTCACTTCTGCTTTAACTCCCCCCACCCACCTATCTCCCCCCATCTCTGCCCTTTTGGCCACCCTGTATTCTGCTGCTGCCTCCCCCTGCCGCTCCTCTGGCACCCTCAGTTTCGCTCCGCTGTCTTCTGCTTCCCACTGCTGAGGTGCACCCAGCTGAGGCAGCTGCTGGCCCTTCATGAGGCCCTCAAGCAGCCTCCCCCACGGAGGTCACACAAGACTTCTGGGAGGCCATGCAAGGGCCTCGCGAAGGGCCAGCAGCTGCCTTGGCCAGGTGCACTTCATCAGCAGAGGGAGGAAGAAGACAGTGAAGCTCAGCTGGGGGTACTGGGGAGCGGCAGGGGAGGCAGCGGTGACAGAGTGCAGGGAGGCCAAAAGGGTAAAGATGGGGGGAGACAGGCAGGTGCGGGAGTTGAAGTACACGCTGCAGTCGTAAATGCAGGCAGGCTGCCAAGCGCCTGAATTCTAATCACATGACCATGGGGGCGCTGCAAACACCTGTAACTTCAAGGACCGGTCATAACTACCATTCATCATAATTTTGAACAGTCGGTGAACAAATGGTCTTTAAGCAAGGACTACCTGTAATACTTTTTTGTACGGGTACTAGCAAAAACCCTGGAGGACAGGTTCCTCCTTAACAGATATATCCTCTCCTCCCTCATGGGAAAAGAGTGCTTCTTCTAAGAGGGAGCCTGAAATATGCTTGAATAATCTAAAAACAGATATTCTGTTTGGTTCAGAACAATTATTTTGTGTCTATTAAGTTTTAATCATTTATAGTCATTCCAGTTTGAAATTATGTGAGTTGTAGTCCAAGATGTTTGGGGTTAATGTAGTAGAAAAGATTACCTGCTCCCCCCATTTATCAAGTTTTGAAAATCCAATATTATAAAAAGTATAGGCAAAAAACAAGTGTAAGCTTTGTAAATTAATGCAGTGTAAAGAAAGCTCTGGAAATCAATTCAGAATGACTTCTTAGTGGACCCTGTTCAATCATAAGTATGGAAAACTCATTATCATTTTCATGTGGATTTTTCATGTGACTAACAAGCAAGAGATACAATATCAACTGCTTTCAAGTAAAGCTTCACCTTAAGTCAATTTATAAATAATATTCTGTATCACCAAATTCACACCATAGATTATGTAAAAAAACATCCACTACATATAATAAAAAGTCTTCTGACATTTTTTTAAGTAATTAAAGATTTGCATTTCCTTCTTTTTGCATTAACTCTATACACACAAACCTCTAGCCTTGAAATATGTAGTTAGTTCCTATCTTACAACATTAGGGGAACAACTTCCTCTTTGTTATAGGTCCTTTTCAGTTCCACCTCAAAGAGAAAAAGACACCAGAAACCACAAGTAATGTAAAATAAACTTGGGGAACTGAATTAAGTCATGCTAGCATCCACTATTTTGCTATCTGTAAAACACCTAGACTGGGTTTTTTTTTCATCCTACTGTTTTTCCCGTAGGTGCAGGGTCCACTTTTTCGGATCAACCAACTGCTAACCCATTGGTTGTGACAGGAATTGACCAACCATGTGCTATACAAAATACATGTAGACATGCCCTGGTCAATGGACTTACAGTCAAATTTAGACAGAGACTGAAAAGCTTAAACATTAAAAGAGCAAGAGACCAGGCATAATAAGAATCCCCCCCCAAAAAAATCCATTTTGAGAACTAGATAAAAAGTTATCCACTTATGAAATACTAATAGTTTAGACAGCTGGACATTATCACTGTGTTTTGCAATACTAATGTCCCATCGCACACGTTCATGCCTCAGACGCCCAAATATCAAGCTTTATTTCAAGCACTTTATCTGTTTCACATGCAAGCTTTCTGGACAGTTTGCAAGATAATCTGCTGAAGCTAAAAAAACAGCAAGCAGGAACTTGCATTGAAGAGGAGAAATGTAACAGGCACGATCAGTTTTCAACAGCCAACTGAAAAATGTGATGTTTCTCCTGCCATGAGAAATGCTGCATACAAAACTCAGGTACACCACTGGATGCAACAGCAGAACCAATGTAGATTTTCTCACAAATAAACACATCAGGAAGACAATGCAGGAAAAGCTTCATGTATAAGTAGCTCTAGGTGTAGTTTGTATTGTTTTTAAGGCTGCCATCCTATATCCACTTACTTTAATATCAATGGGGTTATTTTTTATTAGTTATACAGTGATGCTTAAAAGTCTGTGAATCCTTTTGAATTTTCAGTACTTCTGCATAAATATAAGATCTATCTATGTGGTCACTAGGAGTTGAAAATACCTTGATGGCACATAATCAATCAATCAATCTGCATAAATATGACCTAAAACGTGATCTATTCTCCACACAAGCCCTAAAACTAGATAAAGAGAACTCAATTAACCAAATGAGTCAAACAATTATACTTGTTCATTTATTTATTGAGGAAAATTATCCCCAGGTTTTGAAACTAGTATGAGACCAGACAGTGCAACACAAAATAATAAGCAGACGACCCCAGTACTCAGATCTAGGAAAACTGTATTGACAATGGAGCATCCTGGCATCATCAAACCCACTGAGTCAAGGGAGATTCAACCACTCAGACTTCACCTTGTTATAGCTACACACTGAACAGAGCCATATGTTCAGCCTAAGAGATAATAACAAAGACTATCAGAACATTCTAGTATCCCAAAGAGCTTCTGTCAACCTCATATATGAGCTCACATGTTAAGCATTCTGCAGATGGGCCAAATGAAACAGAATCCCACCAACATTAGTCACCTCCCCAAGTCCTGTCCTTCTTTCAAGTGGACCACAACAAGTGACTCCAACCAATCAAGCTTCTTCCACAAGTAACTATCAGGACTGTATTTGGCCTGTCACCAAGAAGCCTATCTTAGCCCCTCCTTACATCAAGAGATTCCTAAAGGCCTCCCTATAGGAGTAACTGCTAAACACCAGTATCAAACATGGGACCTTCAACTAGTACTCTAAGCTCTAACCTAATCCCCATTCAAAAACCAGGTGAGTCAACCTTAAGAGTATCTGGCATGGAAAGTAGAGTTCTTGATAGCCATAGCTTCAGCCAAGTGGGTACAGTATCAGAAATAGTGGTGCAGCCAGCCAAGAAAGAGTCCTGGGTCATACAGCCAGACACCATCTGCACCTAGATCCAACCTTCACAACTATGCTGAATTTGGACTTTCGCTGGGGCCAGAAAATGATCCCTTCCCTCTGCCCCAATCCCAAGATTTAATTAGAATGGCACAAACCAGATACTACATGAACCATTAAGATATACCTAAGAAGAACAGGTATTCACAGCCTCAAGCATCCTCCTAGTTTTCTTTTGATACTCAATCTGGCTGCAAAGCCTCAGTGACTTTGATCTCCTGGTGAATGAAAGCAGAGAACACTGTAGCAATAGCCTGCTCAAGTGACACAACCAGGTCATAAGGCATAGGAGGCATTACTGAAACTCTATCCTAATAGCATTTTCATGTCAGTGCTGCAGGCAAAGCTTGCTATAATGACTTTTGACAGAATATCCCAGAGGCCTATTTTGTGTTTTATGAATATTGAGCAAAAGGAAGTAGGAAAGGGAAGGTGGCAAGATACCACCAGACTACTCCCGCTAACAAGGCGTGTCCGTTTCAGCAACCTTCATAGCTACATTATTTTGTTTGTTTCTTAAGAAATCTCTCTCTCAAGGGAAGCATACTCTTCACTCCTTCCTCCTATATTTTCCCACAAAAACAACCCTATGTGGTAGCTTGGGCTGAGGAAGCAATTATCCCAAAGTGAGTTTCTGTGGCTGAAGATGGAGTAGAACCTTGAATTCCTCAGCTTTCTCCAAAATCTTTACCTCTCTGCCTCACTGGCTCTACTAGATGCAGTTGTATCAAACACTTTATCCATGAACCCTT